TTAGACTCTTAGCAATTTACATTTATGGATTCATAACAATTTACATTTGCAGACTCTTTACTATTTACATTTGTAGACTCATAATAATTTTTATTTATAAACTCTTAACAATTTACATTTATGGATTCATAACAATTTACATTTGTAGACTTTAACCATTTAAATTTGTAGACTCATAATAATTTTCATTTATAGACTCTTAACAATTTACATTTATAGACTCTTCACAATTTACATTTATAGACTCTTCACAATTAACATTTATAGACCCATAATAATTTAAATTTATTTAACCATTTACCACAGCATTCCATCTTTACCATAGTAAAAATCAAATTTCGGTATAAATCATCATATGTATCAAAGTATATACTTTTCTTCATAATAGAAGCTTTACAATAGTAATATGGATACACTAGACGTAACAGCTAATCTGCTTTGCAACAAAAACCCAGCTAACGGCTCGAATAAATTTTTCATCACTGAATAATTATCTAACAGACACAAGCCTTCGAGGATACCAGGAAAATAGTCAGAAAGAAAAAACGAATATAAAAAAGTCAAGGTAGAAAAGAAGAAATAACCTGGATAATAGGAAGTTGTAGAACTACCAACCGCAGCCAGGACAAATTGGCGTCAGTCATTTGAAGATTTGGAAAGGGCAGACAGGGCCAGCAGCAACAAGGGCCGACTTTCAGCGTCATGGCCGGTGGAGTCGTGACCCTTTTGAAGCCGACGTAGACGAGCAGCAGATAAAGCCGGTACAGGGCTGTCGTCAGGAAGATTTGAGTCAGGGCTTCCGATAGCAACTGCGTCCTGAAAAACCATCGTTAACCTTCCCTATTAGTTATCAATTAACTCTTCTCAGAGATCGTTAAACGTTTTCGATGGTTCTGTTAAAGTTAGACTTCGTACAAATTCTTTTTTATGTGCACTTTTTTAGTGAAAATAAAATTTAAATGTAGGTGAAGTTCATTGAAGATGAAGGTTGTTGAAACGATTATGTTTGGAGTTATTTAAAAGACTCATGTTTATTAAAGAAATTTCTGTTGATTGAAAAAATTCATGTTCACTGAAGAAACTCATGTTCATTAAAAAAATTCCTGTTCACTGCAAACATTGCTGTTCATTAAAAAAATTCATGTTGACTGAGAAAACCCCTGTTCATTTAAAAAACTCTTATTCACTGAAGAAATTCATGTTAATTAAAAAAATTCCTGTTTATTGAACAAATTCCTCTACATTGAAAAAACTCATGTTCATTAAAAATATTCTTGCCCATTGAAAAAATTCATGTTCATTGAAAAAACTCATATTCATTTAAAAAATTCTTGCTCATTGAAAAAATTTCTGTTCATTGAAAAAATTCATGTTCACTAAAAAATCTTATGTTCGTTTAAAAAATTCTTGCTCAGTGAGAAAATTCCTGATCACTGAAAAACATTCATGTTCACAAAAAAAAACTCATGTTCATTGAAAAAATTCGAGTTCACTAAAATTTTCCTAACAAATACATAAATTAAGGGACTTAACAATTTAACTTAAAAAATGTCGTGTTGAAAATATCAATTTGCAATGGAATTCTCGTGTCCACACTATCTAGAGACCCCATCAAATTTCCGACATCTCAGGTGCGACAGTCAGAATTTATCTCGGAAAATCAAAATCATTAGTTGCAGAGGTCCCATCGTTAAAAAGTGTCTCAAAGTTCCTAGCACGACATCTGATCGCGTTTCCGCTCCTTTTCCCTTAAGTGGATTTTCTGGTTTATTTCACGCCAGACCCGTAGTCTGTTAAGGATCCTCAGTCAATTTTTCACCGTAGTGTCTTACCTAGGTATCGCAATGGCTGTTAGACTGCAGACGCTGGCGACTGGATATACGAGTAGGATCACGATGGCATTGGTTTTGTAGAATCTTGCTTCCTTTTGTTGAATTATATTGTGACATGCGTCTACGGCGAAGTAGAGGGTCAGAGTTGAGAGCAGTGCTCCGAAACTTACTATTCCTTTACCGAAGGCTCCTAAACCTGTGAAAGTAGAATAGAAATAGAATATTTAAAAAATTAAAAAATTCTTGTTTATGGGAAAAATTCCTGTTCATTGAAAAAATTCATGTTCATTGAGAAAACTCATATTCACAGAAAAAATTCATGTTCATTGAGAAAACTCATGTTCACTGAAAAAATTCCTGTTCATTGAAAAAATTTATGTTCATCAAAGAAACTTATGTTCATTTAAAAAATGTTGATTTATTGAAAAAATTCCTGTTCATTGAGAAAACTCATGTTGACTGAAAAAATTCATGTTCATTGAAAAAATTTATGTTCACAGAAAAAACTCATGTTCATTAAAAAAATTCCTGTTCATTGCAAACATTTCTGTTCATTAAAGAAACTCATGTTCATTTAAAAAATGTTTATTTATTGAAAAAATTCGTGTTCATTGAGAAAATTCATGTTGACTGTGAAAACTCCTGTTCATTGAAAAAAATTTATGTTCATTAAAGAAACTCATGTTCATTAAAAAAATTCCTGTTCATTGCAAACATTTCTGTTCATCAAAGAAACTCATGTTCATTTAAAAAATTTTGATTTATTATTAAAATTCATGTTCACAGAAAAATGACTATTCCTTTACCGAATGCTCCTAAACCTGTAAAAGTAGAATAGAAATAGAGTACTTCATATTTCAATAGAATAGAAATATTTGTGGAATAGAAGGATATAAAATGTCGAATAGCAAGAGATAAATGAATTATTAGTTTGTGTAAATTTTCAAACAAGAGATTATGGAAGGTATGCGATAAGGGTTTGAAAAAATCTGTTTTGAGACCATCGCTGCTGCCGTATGTTTGCAGTGTGATAATCGCGAGGTTAATGGATATCGATCGACACAATGTGTTACAGAACATGTCATGTACATGTGACAATTCAGAAGAAGAATGATCTTATAGTTAAACAACGATATTTTTTTATGTCATAAACAGTGACCATTATGTTGCAAATTTCATCTGTTTAGAAAATGCATTTAGGTTCGAGTAGAAAATGTTTATGCAGCAATATGCATCCGCAGTTGCATTCCCTCAATATCGCAATAATTGCAAAAGAGGATTGCCTTGTACCGCTCCGCTCGAGGACGATCAAAAAAGTGAAAAACTTATGGAAATCTTTGTCCGATAATTTACTCCCCAGCAAAATTTCAAGCGAACGCTGAATTAAACCGATCGAAGCTTGATTATATTCATTTATTCTATGTTAACGATACGTTTTATTTCCGAGCTACGGTGAAAGCCCTCACTACCGCGTTCAGAGGCATCCTCGATGTTAAATACGGAACCAGTTTCGATTGCCTGTTCAAAGGGAAGCGTACAAGAATTCTCGTTTAATGTCGAAACTTCGTGAAGCGTTCTTTGAAAATTTGATAGAAGCCTAATTATCGTGCACGATTATTCTCGGTTAATTGCTTCCGAAGTTGGGATTTTATGTAACGATTATAGTTGTTACGAACTTTGGAACTTTCACCGAGGCACGCCTTCTGCGCCTGCGCGGTGGATCGCGAAAGCTTTGACTCTGTAACGGAGTCAAATATTCTTTTTAATATGGGACAAAAATGTAGGCGCATTATTTTACAAATATTTTGTAACTTAAACATTTCTAGCTTTATTATTGACAGTAATTTGGAACGGGAGTTTTGTGTACTTCCGTGAAAATTTATAAATGAAAGTTCACCGCGGATCAACTATTGCAAAACTACGCGCACTGCTCATAACAGTTCATAGTTTACTTTCTAATAGCGGTACGGTAATGTACGTCATAATATGTGGCAATATCTTGGAAATTTGCATGAACCTATAAAGACTAAAATTGAAAAAGTTTCAACTTTATAAAATTCTGAATATATTCTTGAAATACTCTGAAATTAAATTTGTAGACTCTCAAGTCTCACTGATAAGTGAAATTAAATTGACAAGTTTTATTTTATTAAAAATAAGCAACAGTAAACTTAAATTGACGAGATTTATTTTATTAAAAGTAAGTGAAAGTAAAATTAAATTGACGAGATTTATTTTATTAAAAATAAGTGAAAGTAAAATTAAATTGACAAGTTTTATTTTATTAAAAATAAGTGAAAGTAAAATTAAATTGACAAGTTTTATTTTATTAAAATTAACACCAATCTGTACATAACATCAGTGTGTCCATAAGCAGATAAATTTGTAGAAATTGAGAAGTATAATTTTGTAAGACAAAGAAAAGAGTGAACTTACTTTCTATATGTTCAGTGGCCGAAGGAACGTACTGATGGTTGCAGCTAAGATTCCTGAATTCCGCCAGATTCTCAAATTCGATTTCCATTGTACTCACTGTATCCCCTTTTTAAATTAATTCGAAAACCGATCCTTGTACCTTTGGTTTCCGCCTTGCAAGGTTCACCGACGAGTGAAACGAACTCGTGGTGATTTAAAAACGAACAGAAAGGCTACGGCACCTTAGTCGGTTAACAGTGAGAGTGAGTCCCCACTTTTACCACCGATCTTGTTGTTGCAAGCATCGGCTGAAAAATCAATAACTCCGCGATTACCCTGGTAGTTTGTTTGACTTTTTATATCTTTTGTAACTACGTTCATTTTTCTATTTTAAATAAGCTATTTGTGAAGCTTGTGGTTGTTGCCAACAGTTATAAATATCGTTTGAAGTTCGTGAAAAAATTTCGAGTGAAGAAATTAAGTTTGGGTTGAAAGAATATTTGGTGAAAGTTTGATGTAGTTTAAAATTAATTACTAGTTGGGTAAGTTAGTGGTTTAGAGTTATTCAGAAGGAGATAATGTTCTTAATAAAAATTAACAAGATGGACGGAGTTGAGTTTTGAATTTTGTGTAAAATTCTACAACATTTATTTATCGCTAGATGGTGAAAAAGACTCACTGTAATTATCCTAAAAATTAAAATAGAAGTGTACATTGCATTTTACATGTTTGAATTTGATACATATTTAATTTGAGCGATTTTGACTTGTTCGTTCTGTATCAAAATGTGTTACCTCATTTGGGTACAAGTTTCTACATTGAATATTCATTATAGAAATAATTAATCTAAAGAAAAATTGCATCAGGAAGTCATATTTTATTATAGAAATTATTTTAAATATCTAAAAGTACTTTAAAAGCTGTGTTTTTATATAATTTTTGAGTTTAGAACCCAGCGCGCTAAAAAATAAAATTAGTGGCGCCATCTCTCCGGCGAACGGGGTGAACTACAGCCATCCGAGACACCTCCTACGTTAGTTCGGTCATGCGCCACTAGGTAGCGCTGCGATACTGTGGCGCCGCCCACCGCATGATGGCCGACGGCGCTACGATACCAGTGGCGCCGCCTACCGCATGATGGCCGCCGGCGCTACGATAGCAGTGGCGCCGCGTACCGGATGATGGCCGAACTAACGTAGGAGGTGTTCCAGATGGCTGTAGTTCACACCGTTCGCCGGAGAGATGGCGCCACTAGTACTTTTTCCGAGCGCCCCTAATTAAAATTCATTTTTCTAGCTTAATTACATTTCTCTTGCATCAAATTACATTGGAGAGCAATACTTATTAACCTCATGAATACTTTCGCGTGAAAATATATCTATTTTTTGATTGATAAAGGTGTAATTTTACATTTTGATAGTTGCGACTCCACCTGCTAGAGGGTGATTGTCATCTCTTCCCTATAGAGAGTGTTTTTATATATTTAAAATAGTCAATTAATAATAACTTTCAATAATAACTGATTTATTGAAATTGATTTTGAAATATGTCGTTTTGAATTCAGATTTGATTATGGAATGAATAACGAATGTTTTTCCTTTAAATATACAATTTAACATCAATTAAGTTGAATATCAAATACAAATAAAATTCTTCTTTATCGACGGCTTGAAAATAGAATTCCTCTTGACTGATGACGACTCCGATGATCACCACATAGTGCTGGCGGTCATCATGCGGTAGGCGGCGCCACTGGTGTCGTAGCGCCGGTGGCCATCATGCGGTAGGCGGCGCCACTGGTATCCTAGCGCTGGCGGCCATCATGCGGTAGGCGGCGCCACTGGTATCTTAGCGCCGTCGGCCATCATGCGGTAGGCGGCGCCACGGTATCGCAGCGCTACCTGGTGCCTCATAACCGAACTAACGAAGAAGGTGTTTCAGATGGCTCTAGTTCACCCCGTTCGCCGGAGAGATGGCGCCACCAGTACTATTTTCCGAGCGGCCCTAATTAAAATTCATTTTTCTAGCTTAATTACATTTCTCCTGCATCAAATTACATTGGAGAGCAATCTAATTAACTTCATGAATGCTTTCACGTGAAAATATATCTATTTCTTCATCGGTAAAGGTGTAATTTTACATTTTGAAAGTTGCGACTCCACCTGCTAGAGGGTGATTGCGATCTCTTCCCAAAAAGCGCGCCGATATAAATTTTTACTAAACTTCCTAATTACACTAATGTGACTGACAGGTATCTCAGACTTTCACTGATAAACCAATCTTCAATTTGCTCTATAAATTCAAATCTTTCACTTACAAACTAAGTTCCCTAATAGACTGTCAAGACCTGCCGATCACCATCTACCTCGTTAAACCCACATTCGCTAACTATGCAACAGTTATTCATTCAATAGAAATCAACCGGTTTCCTACAACTTTCTTTCTCCTTGAACTTGGATTTACCTTTCTACTTAAAGTGATCAACGCGACGAAGACCGTGCATCATTTCCTCGAAAAAGTGGCGGGAAGGTTTACCTGCTCCGTTCAGGTGAACAGATGAACGAAGTTACGTGCATGAGGACGGTCGAGGTGAAATAAACGGGTGAGATAGAGAGAGAGTTCGAAAGTAGGCCTTTAGTCGGTGTTTCAGTCAGTAGTCAACTGCGTTCTCAGACGATTGGTTGTCATAATGGTAAGTTTCTGCTGCTCGTGTCATTGTTCCCGAAATTCTAGCAGCTATTATTGCAACAAAATGTCGCTGCCATATTTTAACCAAGTGTGACTAACACGTGTTGGAAGATTCTTTTTCTTGAGGAAACGCGGTGAATCTTCACGGTTCCATGGGTCTGAAAGTACGAAAAGTGCTTGTAAATGCTGTTAATTGCTGAGTAATTATGTTACGGAGTTCTGTGAGTCTTGCTCTAGAAAACATTGATTCAGATAGAGGTGGTTGAGAGATTATGTTTATTAAACTTATGACAGTGAATTTTTTAGTTCTTTTAATTCATAAATTTTTTAGTTCTTGCAATTCATAATAATTTTCTTCAAATATTTTAGTTCTTGCAATTCATAATAATTTTCTTTTTCTTTTAAAAAATATTTTACTACTTTCAATTCATAAAAATGTTCTTAGAATATTTTACTTCTTTCAATTCATAAAAATGTTCCTCAAATTTTTTAGTTCTCCAAATTTTATAAAACATCAGGTTTATTTATAAAAATTTTCTTCAAATTCTTTAGTTCTTCCAGTTCATAAAAATGTTCTTAAAATGTCTTACTTCTTTCAATTCATAAAAATGCTCTTAAAATATTTTACTTCTTTCAATTCACAAAAAAATGTTCCTCAAATTTTTTAGTTCTCCAAATTTTTTAAAACATCAGGTTTATTTATAAAAATTTTCTTCAAATTTTTTAGTTCTTCCAGTTCATAAAAATGTTCTTAAAATATTTTACTTCTTTCAATTCATAAAAATTTTACTTCTTTCAACTCATAAAGAATGTTCTTCAAATTTTTGGTTCTCCAAATTTTTAAAACATCAGGTTCATGTAATCAGACCTTCTCTCACAAGTAATTTCAGAATATTTAAGAAAGAACGAAGGCCCATAAAAATACACAGAATTCAGCTTTCAAAAGATTCACCCATGTCGCAATAAATTGCAGAATCACTAAATCGTCAGATCAGTTCGAAGTCGAAAGTGACTTTCGTTTTCGAAAATCATTATCCCGAATCGTTCAGCGTGTCTAACTTCTCTACTCAGTATAACAACATCGTTTTCTGTTACACGAAATCATTTTGTTGCTGTTTTCCGTTCATTAAATTTAATCGAGACGGACGATGTCTTCGGTCACGAAACACCTCCGTGTATATAATTTCGTTTCAATCCATCCGGAAAATGATAGTCATTTCAAGAAACGAGCGTATAAATCTGAAAATGGAATAGGTAGAAAGTCATCTTAAACGAACCGGAAGACCATTTTTAATCCTTGTAATTCACTTTGATTGACAGTAATTTTTTATGTAACCAGTTATGCTTTTCGTAAATAAAAATATATACATTTTTAATCTTCGTAGTTGACTTTGATTGACAGTAATTTTTTATGTAACCAGTTATGCTTTTCGTAAATAAAAATTTATGCATTTTTAATATTCGTAATTGAGTTTGATTGACAATAATTTTTTATGTAACCAGTTATATTTTTCGTAAATAAAAATTTATCCATTTTTAATCTGGGTAAGTGACTTTAATTGACAATACTACTTTTGATGTAACAGTTGCTTTTCGTAAATAAAAATGTGTCAAATTTAAACTAGTCGAACAAGAAATACGGGTTTAATGACAGTTTTCTAGATTGAAAAGGGACATTCTTGAACATGTAAAATAGGTGAGTTGCTCAAACGTCAAGGATATTTTGCAAGAGCTCTATGAATATGAAAGAAACACGTTAGTGATTACGATCTCTTAGACTTTGGAAACCCGTGTACTGCAATGTCAAATATATTTCCTCGATGATCGTTTTTTACTGGAGAACGTAGGCCACGAATGTAGGCCACGCGTCATAATTACTATGCAAAAAATGATGAGACGATCAGTCTTCAATGCTTGAGTCTTCGATTTGCTCCAATTTGCAGTCTTCGATTTGCTCCAACTTGCAGTCTTCAATACTTCAAACCACTTATATAGTTTTATACCGTCTTCAATTATCCATAAAATCACAGTTACCTAACCTAACCGTAAATTTCTAATTATTCGCAGCTTGCGGTTTTCATTCTGCTACTGGTACTCAGCCTAGGTCACTGTCAGGACAATGATCTTCCATCGGGATACGAGATCGAGAGCTCGATCAACCGTACGATCGAGGAAGTCGAGCGACAGGTTCGCGAGAACCCGAAGCTGCCTCGTCTAACTAGGCAGCAAATAGTCCACATCCTCGAGAACATCACGTCGCAAGATCTGAACGCGTACAAAGACAAGGAGAAGCTAGAAAAAGCCAGAAAATTGTACCAAAGAGCCCTCATGGTTGTTCTTCCCTACAACGCCGAGAAAGGAAGCTTGAACGACCTGTACACGAAGCCACCTATGACCCAAATAATTCCCGATCGCTCGTTCAAGGACTCGAAACAGGAGGACAACGAGGTTCGCAACGAAGCGTCCACCGAGAACCTGGTGTCTCAAAGCTACAAACCGAAGTCCAAGAACCAATACAAGAATCATAGAGAGACGTACTCCGAGGTGCAGGGAAAGCTGCCTTTGAAGGAGACGCTGAAACTGGACTCCACGCCTGTGAGGTTCTCCTTCAACCTGGAGAACCTGCAGAAGAGCTACACCACAGAACGAACGACGACAAAGAGGTATCCAGTGTACGAGAAATCGGACCTGGAGATCGTTTACAGTACGAGTGTCACGGAACCCACCACGAAGTCTACACCCAAAGAGATCGTCATAGACCTGGATCGCTCAAAGGCGACCCAAAACGTGTTGACGTCCAGTCAGTGGCGTTATAACGCGCCTCCAAGTACTCTGAAACCAACGTTACCTTCGAACGTCGACAAGATTCCTTTTCTGCCAACCGTGAACAAACCTGAGGAACCTATTTCTACCGAACGAGTTCCAAACGAGACCACGGAGCTATATATTAGTTCGGAACAACCCACTGCGTTGTACGTGACACCCATGTCCACGGAAACATCTCCCAGAGTGAAATACAGCTCCACTTATTCCGTGAACGCTGCAGGGTTTCGAGCGAGCACTACGTCAACCATGAGGCCAGAGGTGATGGACCTGCTGGAGTCGATCGGTCTGAGGCCCGACAACTACAGCAACGTGGAGGACGTTTATAAGAAGAACAAGAACCTGCTAGAGAGTTCTGAGTTGAACAGCATTCAGGGATTAGTTCCAGCCGGGTCGGACTCTCCGTCGATACACGATCAGAACACCTTCGAGAGTTCTGGGTTTGAGATTAAGAAAGGCATGGAGAATCTGACGCCCGAGGTGCAGATGCTGTTCCAGAGGTTTGGGCTGCAGACCTCGAATCTGGATACGACTACTACCACAACTGCGAAGACTGTCAGTTTTAATTCGTACACGAACTTTAAACCTTTGCCCACGTCCAGCGTGAAGGATCAGGGGATGAAGGAGTTCCTGGCGAAGTTCGGTCTGGTCGATAATCGGAGGCAGAAGTCCATGAGGCCGACGGAGGCTTCGTTGATCGAGGCTGTGCCCCAGAATATGAGAGGCATCCTGGAGAACATTGGTCTCATTTCGAGCACTCAGAAGGATATGGAGACAGAGACGACGAACCACGTGTTCAAGCCTCATGAAGTGAATGTAAAAGATGAGGAACAGAGGAGCAAGATTAACGAGTTACTGGATACTGTTAAATTGGTACAACAAGGCAAGGCTGATATTCAGAACGTGAAGAAGGCGGCTAATGATCTGATAGAGTCGACGAAGACTCTGAAGGATGGACCAGATCCTTTGAAGCTTGAGGAGATCATCAGAAATTATAGCAAGGAGCTGAGGAACGAGGTGAAGCGACAGGAACAGGTGACCACTGTTAGCACCACAGAAGAAACGATAGCTACGACTGGTATTAAGAAATTTATGATTTTCCTTTTGGGGAGCTCGGAATTCTGGGTGCGGAAGATCATTCAGGGGCTAACGAAACTTCGAGTCGCACTAATGAACGTGTTTAATAGGTTCAAGCGCGGGTCTGGTTGAGTTTCTGTTACCTGTGATTTTAAACACTGTTAACCCTTTGCACTCGAGGATGATTTTATTGTTTGCGACTTAAAATGTTAAATGGGTTCCGTTGAGGTTATTATACTATTGTCTCTTTCACTATACTTATTATCACTATTATAGAATTAGTTAAATAATGCTTATTTCAAATTTTGGCGTCTCTCGAGCGCAGAGGGTTAATTGCATGTCAAAGGGTGATTTCTAATTTCATCAGTTCATTGCGGATCGTGTTAAGAACTTTTTGTTTACAATCTTCCTTTCATGTGGTATCTGTATATAGTCAGATTTCTCTCGCTTTCATGTAAAGGATTTCCCTAAAAAGGACAGTATGGGAAAAGATAGACGAACTTCAGCCTTACGACGACTGAAACTTTCGCTTGTTTCTTTTCCTAATTGTAATTAATTACGTCTGTAACTAATATCCGAGGGAAAGTGAACGAAATAATAGCATCATTAATTTACACTCGTTAGCAGAAAATCGATCGCAGATAAAGAACACAATACTCCTTCCACGTCTTTGTAAATAAAATAACTATTCAGGAAATCGAAAATAGTGAACCGAGTATTACTATGAAACTTGTCAACAGAATCGACGACGACCAGCACAGATTCCACGAAATCGGCAGATCAGTTAGCTGTGGACTCGTCCACTTCCAAGGATTCTACGACCTCAACGACCTCGAACTCTACGACCTCGAATCTAATGGCACTAGAGGAGTCTTTTGGCGGGACGACTCCCGAACCAGATCCTGTTCTTCCGCCAAAAAGAAAAAACGGGCTGTACTTCCTAGTGGACTGGAACACGTTCCTGGAAGTCGGCGAGGACGACAAGGAGAAGATCAATTTGAGATTTCAACCAAAAGTTGGAGACAGAACGAGATTTTTACCAGTATCGGTGCCTTAAACTTTCTTCTATTTATTAACGTAGATTAATCTTGATGCCTTGGGTTCGAATTTTTCTAGGATTAAACAAGGAATCAAATATGTAAATACTTTTGTGTCAAATAGTTTAATATATTTCTTGACTGAAGTTCAATTAAGTTACTTCATTTGTAATTGTTTTGTATCATACGTTACTCGAATAAAACGTTTCCTGTCAGGAAAACGAACAGTTCTCTGACCCACATATTTGTGAAAGCGTGTAATTAATACGTGCACAAATGAAGCAGAAATTGAGGCAAAATATTGTAAACAGTTGAGAATCACTGAGGTCGCGAAAATATTTTGTATCGCTCGAATGTCACGGACGGTTTCAGAAATCGCGAGATCTTAGATGGAAATGGTTTCGGTCGGTCGAATTTTTCTGGTTCTCCTTCTTCGATTGAGCGTTGTAAAATCGGTGGAAACGATAGATGAGTTCCTTGAAGCTAACTCGAGGAGAGTTCTGCGACATGTGGAGGATGAATCCCCAATTTGGATGGAGTACGAGTTCGACAGCGGAGTTGGAAACAGAGAAGGTATAAATTCATAGTTTAATCACTTAACACTTCTAGTATTTTAGTATTCGAGTATTCTAGTATTCTAGATTATTTCATTTTACTCAATTACTCAATTTTAGATTTGATCGTGAAGGACATTTCGATTCATCCACACTCAACTTTACCACAAGTAACCAACTGGCAGTTCTTCCAAACAAATGACACCAGTTACCTCTTCTGCGCTAAAGAATCCACCCTATCGCTGTACAAATTAAATTTAGATAATGTTGAAATCGCTCAGAATGTGGATTTGAGTGTCCAGGGAGAAGTGTTGACGTTCAAAGTGATTAATCTAAATTCCTCCGTGGTCGTCGTTCTGTGCGTGAAATCGTACAATGGAACCTCCTTGCAGTGGTACAAACTTGATGGAGACTCTTTTGAGTCTTTCTGGTTGTGGCCGGTACAGAAACATGTACATGATATGGAGTTTGTTCAGAAGGCAGATGGGAATAAATTGTTGTTGCTGGTTGATGAAGAAATACGATTTAGACAGCATTATTCGACTGTTGATGTTTATGGCTTCAGCGTTGATTTTTCGAACGATTATTTTCACTTTTGGTAAGATGTGGTTAAGTTGGGTTGATGGAAGTTGAGTTAGTTAACCTAGTCAAGTTGAATTTACTTGGTTCAGACTAGATGGACCTAGTCCAGTTAAATTAAGTTAAGTTAGATCTGTAGTCAAACTAAATGAAGTCAAACTGGGTTTACTCTAGTTAAACCTAGTCCATTTGAACAAACTAAAGGTTACTTTTACACTTGAACTCGAATCCACCCAACTCTTCACTAAAAATACACATCTCAACATATCAACTTCCCCAACCTTCCTCCACCATCTCCAAAATTACTCTTCAAATCCAGGTTATGTCAAACGACCTCCGTGCCAAAAGTAATAGACATCCAAGTCTGCTCCATCTACGAAAGCGTCTCCATCGCCCTCCAAGGAAAGGACGAAATTTCCCTATTCGAATACAAGGGTACCATCTTTGGAGACACCTTCCAAGAATTAAAAACAATAAAATCCCACAATCTGAACAACTTCGCCTGCTTCGAAAGTGGATATCTCCAATTCCTGGCGATATCCGGACCTGAAGCTGGACTCTTTCACTTCATCGAAGGGGAATTTCAGTACAACACAGAGTCTGAACCTAGTTTTGGTAAGAAGACCTTTAATTTATCTGGACAATTGTCTAATTTTTTTTTTGATAGACATTTCAGATATTTATTGGGTCAAAGATATAAGATTGGATACGTATAGAGAGGAATCGTTGTTACTGCTTCAGTTACAAAATAGTACAGTGATTGCTTTGGCTTGGCAAGGTTTGAGCTACAAGAGGATACATCTACCTAGCAATGTTCTCGATCAATTTAATTTGTCAACGATCACACCGGTTCCGAAATTCGGATTTTTTGCGGGTAATCAGTTCGTGAGGTTTCACACCGAACTGAAGGAACTGAAACACCCTATTCAGTATAGTACAGAAAAGTTGTTGATCGTGCAACGTCTGTTGAACGTGAGTCTCTAAACGAATCTCTAAATTAAAGGTATTTGCTTAACCAAACTTAATCAATTTAATTTCTAGGACACGTTGTATCAGCAAGAAAAGATCCTCGACGAAACAGAGTCTCGTATCAGTAAAAGTTACCTAAAAAATCCGGTGATCACAGGATTCTGGAATATCAGTTCACTAAACGCGACTAATACAGTTCTATCTAACAATGTGACATACCATTCCGTCAGTATAGGTTCCAAAAAGTTAACAAAAGAGGAGTTGCAGTTCGATGTAAAGTCTTATACCCGAAAGTTAGACGACTTACAAGAAAAATTAGAAGAAATCGATTCGAATTTGAAGGATGCCGATCTGAACCAGTTGCATTTTAATTCCGATATAGAAATGTTTGGAAATCTAAACATTACGGGTACCTTGACGGTCAATGATCTAAGCGTGGATTACATCAATGATGTCAATGTGAATGACAATGTCAAATCTTACGAGACCTTCTCTTCGGTCGAAGCTGAGAACCTGACAATTTATTCCTTGAATGGTATACCTGTGGAGAACATACGTTTCTCGGATTCGGTGTTCGACTGCAGCGATGTGAACTTCTCTGCAATAAATAGAGCACATGTGACGGAGCACTTATTATTTGAGACGATCAATGATGTTGATTGGAAGAGGTTGATGGAAAACGTTGTGTGGATTGATCGGCCGGCATTTATTCCTGGGAACACTGTCATCGAAGGGGTACTCAAAGATCACTATTAGATTTCGAGTTTCAAAAATTATTATTAGACTACAAGTTTCAAAGATTATTATCAGATTACAAGTTTCAAAGATTACTATTAGATTACAAGTTTCAAAGATTATTCACTCCTTGTACTTTGACAAGTCTCACTCGTGACGCACTCACAGCTAAAATATAACAAATTTTACTCAAATTCTTAATAGCCTTCAACTTCAAATTTAGGTCTATAATTTGTGTTATCAAGGATCAGATATAAAATAATCACATTTTAATTTTTACTGCTTGTTTATTATAGCTATGAATAGTTTTGATTGATGCATCTGACAAATAAGTGGCAAGGGGTTAATTGTCCTGTTTTTAATTTTTACTGTTTGTTTATTATAGCTATGAATAGTTTTGACTGATCCATCTAACAAATAAATGGCAAGGGATAAATGTCCTGTTTTCAATTTTAATTGCAGACGCTAAGCGCTGATATTTTTGATGTGGACATAGTGAATGGTCTCCCATACCCTGATGAGTATGTGCTAACCGACGATAGATCCGCAAACATAACAGGTGTGAAGTCGTTCAATAAACTAACAGTGCATCATCTGAAGAACGTGAACACCCTGAACGATATAGATTTCGAGGACTTCGTGATACTGAACAGAGACAACGTTCTTAAAGAGGAGATCACGTTCGAGGACTTGTCGGTCTACGACCAGATACAGGTAAATCAGAACAGTAAAAGTACTCTGAATACTTCTCTGAAGTCTTCAAGAAGGGTTAATACTATGTTTACGCATCATTTTGACGTATTTCGTAAAGATAGCTACATAAGAAATGTACCTAAACCTACTATTAATTGCAGATAGACGGCGAGATAACCGGATGGACCGAAGAGAATCTGTTACTAAACGAAACATCTGAGATCTCCAACGACGTCACGTTCCTAAGTCTGAACATTTTGGGAAACGTGACGTTCGACAACTTCTTCATGAACCAACAGTTATTCGATTTTAGAGATCTTCTCCTAAAAACGGAGGAGAACGTTGAAATTACTGGGACAAAGACGTTCTTGAGCGACGTTCGAATGAAATCTCTTCACATCACATCTGGATTGGTCAACGAACGTCCGATGGACGAATATGTGACTTTGGACACGGAGCAAGAATTTCCAAGTAAATATTTAATTCCTTTCTCACAATAATATATAGACATCTTTTCTACACATCTAGATTTGTACACATCACATTTTAGATTTGGTGAAAATATTACCGGACGTTACATTCGGAAACGTGACGTTTGGAGCAATCGAAAAATTGGAGAACCTATTCAAGGAAAATTCAGACTCTTGCTTGCAGAAGATCATAGTATTTAAATCACCGATCACAGTAGAGAACTTGACGTTCGATAAAATAAACAATGTGTCCTACGAAGATTTCCATAGGAAGCTAAACGAGACGGATGTGCACTTCGATAATTTAACAGTGGAGAATTTATACGCAGATATTATTATACCCTCCTCAATAAACGACGTCGATTTCTCAGATTTTATTAAGAACTATTCTTCGAATGTGGACGAATACGAGGTTGAGAATTTACAAACCGACTTCTTGAACGCATCCTTCATAAACGGGATGTCCATCAACGAAATCAATGAGAAAACCAATCGTTTATTAACGATGTTATCAGAAATTTTTAATGGGAACGTTACTTTGGAGTCTCTTCGTGTGACAGGAGTGATAAACGCGAATTCGATAAACGGGAAGTCGATGGTGGACTGGTACAACGAAGACCAGAGTGGAAACATCATTTTCGAAGATGGCGTCTCCATCGGAAATTTGACTATTCTAGGTTTAGTGAACGGCGTAAATTTTTCTGAGTTCGTTTCTGATACCGTGTTGAAAACGGACACGAATATAGAGGTTGATGGACATAAAACTTTCGATGTTGTTAACTGTGGTGTGATCGAGACAACTATGCTGAACGGGCGACCTATAGAGATGCTGTTTGACCCCAGCAAGGAGCAGGTGTTGACAGGACCCGTGGTTGTAAATGGTGAGTTTTGGAACAATGTAGTTATTGATGTAACAATGGAGTTATGTGTTTTGAAATTGTATATTAATATTTTAAAGGTTCCATCACGGTGCTCAATAAATTCAACGTCACTGGGAAGATCAACGACATACCGTTCCAAGATTTGATGGACAGATTCAAACTCGTGGGCGACACCTACGTATTAAATGGAGATGTCCATTTCAATGACAACGTCACTATACAAAACTTGTACACGAATGGCTCCATTCAGGGAAAAGACTTTAATAGCTTTTTGAAAGACATAGTCTTCAAGGATGAAGATAATGTCACCATATCAGGGAAGAAAGTGTTCAACTCTGTCACCTTTGAGAATTCGATCACTGTCCACGATAAGTTGAACGACATAGACTTGAAGAGATTCTGGGAGAAGGCTGTGTTCATCGACAAACCATTTAAGATCAAATCCAAAATTATTTTTAAGGGTGGAATTCTTGTGGATGGGGATGTCACAGTCAAACAGAGCTTCGAAACGAAGTCCATCATGGGAATCGACGTTGACGAGCTACGACATAATGTTTTGCACTTGAACAAACCCGCCTACATTACAGGTAAAATGAGATTACACTACCAAACCGGTCAAATGCTCCACAAGTTTTTTATTATAAGATACACATTTTTTACATTCCTTGAAATCAGCATTGATTCTCATCAAAATGAAGAGTAAATGTGTGTACTAATTTATGTTTTATTTGTTCATTTATTTTTTAATTTGAAGTTAAGTATACATTATATGCTGGTATGTTTAGTGTTGAGTAAAAAAATTGAAATTACAGTAAAGTAAATAATAATTAATAATAGTAATAGTTAAGTAAAAAATAATTTGGGGTTTGCAGAGCCTATGACGCTAACGAACGTGACGTTCCTATCGAACATCCAAGTGGGGAAGATTAACGACATCGATATGAGTTTGTTAATTCCTTTGCACACCGATCAAGCTATACCTGTGAACGTTCTGAGATGCAGAACAGTCAACGTGGAGAACGTCGAGATACTAGGAAAAATTAATGGGCAAGATTTGAAGCAAGTTCAACAAACCACGTTTATGGTAAAACATAATAATGTTGTATAGAAATGAAGTCGATGGAACGTATGAGATTATTTCTGCTCAGGTAAATGGGAACCAGAACATAACAGGACATTTCAATTTCCATGGTCACGTTCGCATGCGACGTGATTTCAATGCACATCTTAATGGCATTGATCCAAGCAGAATGATTTCTTTGAACTCGAAAGGCGATTTGAGAGGTGGGTTATTTATTATGAATTATTTTGTGGAGATTATTATATATACAGACCTGTTATATCGGTCACTTTAAAATATATGTATGTATATAATATAGAATAATGTACAATAAAATTTAGATTATTTGAAACATTTAAATTAAGAACAAATGTGAACATTTAAAGGTGTCTATGTATGTATAAAATATACAATAGTGTACAACAAAATGTAGATTATTTGAAACACTTAAATTAAGAACAAATGTGAACCTTCAAAGGTGTCTATAGAATATGGTTTTTCACAGGGAACTTCATATTCGAGAAACCGATATATTTGAAGAAGAGTCTTCGGACATTAGGTTACTTGAACGGCATAGACCCTGCACGATGGGAGGCGGTGGCTGTCATGAAGAACAGCCCTCTTCGACAAGTGGTTTCCGGTACCTGGACCGTGCGTGGTGATGTCTACTTCCAGAAGGGAGCTGTTGGGAGCGATATTGTGAACGGGACTAACATCACTGAGATATCACATGTGTTGGCGAAGACACATGCAGAAATGGATGCTGTGTTGACAAAGGAAAAAGTATGGTTTCAGAAGTTTAGCACAGAAGTTAGAGTAGCAATATTTTATATAATAGAGTAACATGTTTGGTGTCACTGTGTAACATATGTAGTATTTCACTGTGTAACATAATATTTCATGTCATTATGTAACATAACATTCTTTAATTCTACAATTCTTTAATTCTAATCCTATAGAACATTCTTTAATTCCATAATTCTGTAATTCTAACCCTATTCATATGCAATATATTTCACATATGCCTTTCAGGAAAAATTGAAAACCACATGTGAAGAGCTCAAACGCCTCAAATACTACGCCGAGAATCAAATATACCAATTCAACGCCTTCGACTATCTGCAAATCATTGAATTCGACAACAAGATAGTCAGTGTTCACTATTTTGAGTTAGAGGACAGAGACTATATGATGTTAAGCTTCACCACATGTCACATGCATGCGTACGTGTACACAGGGACAAAATTCGAGTTGATAGAAAATGTTCCAGATTTTGGAGTAGTGGAACGTTGGTCCACCATCAGACACAAGGACATTCTATTTTTCCTGGCTTCCGGACCTAATTTGTGTGGACGAGGCTCTGCGAATTTGTGGAAGTTGGAGAACGATACGTTCACGGTGTGTTAATCATATTTGAAGATGAAAATTGCAAGATTATTCAATCATATTGTATTAAAATTGCAAGACTATACAATTGTAAGATTATGCAAGATTATATATTTATTTTGCAGCACGTGTTAGACTTCGGTCAGAATGTAAATAGCAATCGAGACACGTTTTTAAGGATGATGAGTAACGAACAGATGAGATCAGTAGGATTGAACGAGAGTCTGTCTTCACCAGATGATTTAAAAATTGTTTTCGATGGAGATAAAATGTTGCTGGCCAGAAAGTCTGAGATCTATAAGTACAATGTTGATAGTAATGATTTTGAGAAAGATGCGAAGCCTGATGTTCTGAAGTTCAAGGCTGGATTACTGCAGAAAGAGATGATACTGTACTACGACGAAGAAATTAGCAAAGATATATTTGTGAGTAAAATTTCAAAATTTTGCTATTGGAATACTAATATCTTTTCGTTTCAGATTTATAAGATTAGTGGAACAAAACGAAAGGTGTTCCAAACTATAAAGACACATAGACCAACATTCTTCACTGTAATTAATTTCGAAGGAAATATTGAAACACTGTTAATCTTTATTGAGAACGGAATGTATCTCCGAATTTATGAATATAAAGGTATGAATTTAATCTACAGGGTGTCTCACACATTTACCACGCGTTGTATTTACCAAGCGTTGTATTTACCAAGCGTTGTATTTACCACGCATTGTATTTACCACGCGTTGTATTTACCACGCATTGAATTTACCACGCGTTGTATTTACCACGCGTTGTATTTACCACGCGTTGTATTTTCCACGCATTGAATTTACCACGTGTTGTATTGACCACGCGTTGTATTGACCACGCATTATATTTACCACGCATTATATTTACCACGC